AGCGAATACTGACGAAAGTTCATTTTCGTTCGCTGGCTCGAATGTGTACGCCTGTGTTTACGTTTACGTTTTTTTCTTAACCAAGACTGATCTCGTCCAACCGATTTCTGGATGGATTTCGCTTTCTTTTCGCTAAAGTGATTGTGATAGACGCGAGTGTTTTGGCATCGACGATGTGAAAATAAGCTGGCATCTTTAGGTCAGCCTGCACGTGGCGCCGGTATATTTTCTTCTTCGCATGACGATTGTTTAGCTATCTTTCGTTATCAATTATTCTCATAATTCTTAATTTTACGAATTGTAATCACAGACAAGCATTGTAAGCATTTTAATTAATCGGGCATCGTATATCCTTCTTTACTCGCTGCTACTACTACCGACGATCTCTAAAGACGTAAACAGATCTTTGACTAACCCGCCTCGTCAATTTAAATTCTCATACCTTATTTCGCGTTTCTTCATCTCCAGCTTTCACACCCTTTTCCACCTACAACCTTTCCCCTAGCGTTCAATCTAAATATTAACTTTTACCATCGATCGATCAATCGTAGACACGAATAAACCTCGGTGAGTCACTTCATCGAATCCCCATCTAATTTATCGTTATATTATTCGCCTCTTTTTTTCCGATTCTTTCGTCAGTCATCGACTCCTTTTCTGCGCGTAACTCGAATATTAATCTTCCCCTTGGAACCTCTAAAAGAGCAGATAAATCTCGACGAATCCCGCCCATTAGTCGCGTTGCCCTTGTTCGTTTCTCTCCAAGTCTTGTATCGGCGCGGCGCGGTCACGGATCTCGGTCTATACGCGTGGCGAAAGTGTCGTGCAACTGTGTAAATTTCTGCGAGCAGATAAGGGATGCAGCGGGTGCTCCTGCATCCCGTGAGATAGCGCTTCCTCGTATTCTGGTGAATACCGAGCGTCTACAGAACAAGCCCCGATACAAGGTGGTCGAGAGCGAAGCATTCGGTAAGCGCGCAGAAAACCACCCTGTGACGTCGCGTCGCGTCGCGTCGAGTTGCATGTCGTGCTACCTGTTGTTTATTACTCCCTCTCCCCCCGAACACCACCTCTCTCGAAAACTAAAAACTTTCCGCTGTAAATGTACCAGTGCGTGACGTGAGCAATCTCCGAGCTTCCGTTTCGTCAAACAGTTTTTTCGTTTCGAGAGATAGATTTTTCGAGACGAGACGGTCAAGATAGATACGGTAATCGGTAGAAAAGTGGTTTGTAAGGACATTCAAGGAATGAATTGAAAACGATCCGCGATCGTTGGAAAAAGTTGAGGTTTCGATTTCGGTATGGAAACTTCAAGTTGAAGTGGAATTGGTTCGCGGTGAAATAAAAGTGTGACCAAGTCATGAAAATGGCGTTCGGTAAACTTTACGCTTTATCGCTGGAATATATTTACAAAATTGTCCACATGTGACCAATTTTGTTATCATCGTTATTCCTAGTTCCTCGTGAATTGGTATTCGTATTGCCCGTTAAACGATTGATGAAACTCGTATGACCACGAATTCGCTATCAAACAAGCTCCTTATCCTTATCGTTTTAAATTTAGCGTAAAAGTGGTTGAATTTATAATACGTACCCAGTACGCGTTCAGTCACGGACAGAATCGTTCGTGCCGCGATGATTGTTGTTTCAGGTTTGTTCACTTTCCGCGTTACTTTTGTCGGGGCATAGAGAAAGCTGATAAAAGGGTGATTCGTATTCAGAGTTGCTTAATTAAGGCTCGGTTGATGCTCGGTTCGCGAGCCGCTCGTTCCGCGATGAAAGAGGCACTCGCAATTAAGCCTGCAATGCGCAATGGTTTCTTGTCGAGGGAGGAAAGTGCTGTTGATACGAATAAACTTAACGGGAAGCGAGATTTGCTTTTCCTTTTTATTATTATTATCCCATGGTTCGAAGAAAGTACGAGGATACTCTAGAATTTGTCAACGTAAGAAAAATGACAGATTGTTCGTATATCGTGTTGATTGAAAATTGATTGTTTTTTCGTTTGTCGTAGTTTTCGTTACCGCGGCAATGGCAGTTCGTGCTTGGTACTCTTCGTGTAGTCGTACCGTTTGCTCATTAATGGCGTATCCCCCTCGATGGGATCGAGGCAACTTTTCCGGAACACGATTGGCCAAATCGTAAACCTCCGTTAAGACCGTTACGTAATTGGAAAACTAAACAGCGAACAGACTCGATCGAAAGGTTTCTTTGACGGCCGATTCAGGTGGCGTCGATAATTTTATTTTCCATCGCGCTAACCATCGGACGCGTTTCATTGACACATGCCAGTGGGGCTCGTGCTTACAATCGATGATTGCGCTTACGGGACAATCATTGATTGCGCACTCGCGTCTCTGTAATTGATGACGGAAGTTAGCTCCAATAATGCAGTTGCATCCCAGAAACGATGGTCTCGAAACTCTCGAGTGACCTTTCCATTTGTTTCCGTTCGCTGATGATATTCGGAGAGATATGAAATTTTTGCAAGATCGATGAAGAATTTCAATTGATCCGTAGGTACTTGACGACACAGGATATTTCCTCGTATATATTAACAACCGTAAGTTTTTGCAAATATTTTGCTAAATGGTATTTCAGAGATATTCCTAAAGTAATTATCGTTGCTGGTTTGTTTAACCCATTTTTCAAAGTTTTTTTGCTCTCGGTGTGGCGCGGCCGATCTCGCGTACTGTATTTCTCAAACTCGGCCCGGCCGCTAATGAAACGAAAGGAAATGGTGAATACGAATGAAACTCGAGGAAGCGTTTGGTTCCCGGTCGACGGTTTTTCATCGACGTACGCAGGCTACTCGTTCGTTCGCCCATAAACGTGATTTATCGCCGGAGCCACGATGAATTCCCACTATTTTTTCCACCTTTTTGCGTCTCTTTCTCCAATGTTTCTCCGCATTTTTTCTTTCCTTTCGCGAGAAGGGAACACGGAGAGGTGTATTTTTTTAGATAAAACCAGGACGTTGATGAAAAGAAAACGTATGGACAAAAACATTTATATTCCCTCGTCGAAAGGTGATAATATCGTGTAACATGAATTTCATTTGTCAAATATTACAAAGAGGAACGATTTCGTACAAACACTTTGCCGACATTTTCAAATGATCGATCTCCGTTCGTTGTATCGTTCGCTAAAATGGCTATCGATACGGATACGGATGCGGATATATATATATGTACAACGAGTAATGAGATTATAAAAATGGATCGCTTTCCACCGGTTGAATATAGCAGCAGGTTGCCGAGTTCTCGTTTAAAGCGAAATTAATCGGCTAGCAGATTATTGGCTTCGAAAGGGCGCGAAGAAAGTGTCGCTTAACGACGTAACCTAATTTCTTGTTTATTCGATACCCCGGAACCCTTTAATCGGATTTCGAAGAAAATGGAATGTCTTCGCTTACGAGGGAGGATAGTTTTCGCATCGATCGGGAACAGAATCGATTCCGTTTTGTTATTTCTATCCTTGGATTCTTCGTTGATCGAAATTCCTGGTACGATTTCTCTATGGAAACAATTCGGACGAGTAGGGAAAATGGAACGTAGAACGGTAGCCTATCTTGGTCAAGAAGAAACCTTGGTGTCAACGTGATTGCATTTTCTAGGCAATTTGCCGAGTAATAATGGTTAATAAAAACTGTCGTGGATTGCGAGAAAATTAAAAATTTCATACTTGACGAGATCTCTGCTCGATTACCTAGATCCTGTTAACTCGGTCTTGCTAGTTTTTAGCCTGTCGTGATTATTTATCACATGGAAATCATCTAACACGTGACAGTGTGGCTGACACGTGAACTTTCTCAACCGAACCGATTTAATGTTTCTATACCGTGGTCCGGCCGATCAACGATTTTTCATCGTAACAAACGAGAATCTTGTCACGAGAAACTCGAACTGTCGCAGTTCGATATTATGCTGAATTTAATTTGTTTGGAAACTGGGTTCGATTGAAGAAACCATAGTAAAAAGTAAAACGTTGTCCGCGTTTTGCGTCGGAAACGCAGCAATATCAAGTGGCGTTGGAAATGTCAAGCGACGGTGTGTAATTGAACGTCGCGACGCGACGCGACGCACGTAACGATTAGTTCTGTGACATTTTGGACAGTGAGCAAGCGAATCCTATCGCTGACAATTTATTAAAGCTCGGACGCGACGTCTTAGTTCTTTCGACTTTCGATACCGAACGTCTCCACTGATATCTATTCCGTTGTAATTACACAAGTACAAGTTTTCTGTTTAGAAACGTACAGAATACGTATCGCTCGTTGAAATACCTATACCGTAGCAAATGATTTTTCATCGGGGAACTCAACTTTGCGACAAACATTTTCATTTCGATCATAAGAATCGATGATAAGAATAAAATGGTTGGAAAATCGTTCGTGTTCACTTTTCCAGCTTTTCTGCTACAAAAAATAACTGTCCTCGACTATCGATTTCTGTTCGATTAATATCGAATACCCCGATCGAACGAAACTACTTGATTTCCTGCTCGAAGCTGCGTCGAATATTACACTCGCCGAATACGAGGAATGTTTGATATTTCGAGAACGAGAATTATGGAAGCGTCGTAAATGGGACGACTTTGTCATATCCTTTGTCGTATCCTTGGCATTCATTTACCGTTCGATAAATGTTCGATTCCTCGTGTCTCGTCCGATAATAATGTATGACTGACGTAACGCGAAGCAATCCACAGATAAACATTAGAGCTAAACATTGCCATTAGTGGCCAAGAAATTTTACGATACTTTCGGTACTCTCGTTCTCAGCGTGCACGATGAAAGTCACCAATCACGGCCGATGCAACACGTCTCTCCGTTTGCCTTTCTCCATCTGCCTCCCCGTCCATTCGATTTTGAAACTTATTCGCGAGCTAACGGGATAAATGTTGCAGACGATCGATTCTAAAGCATAGTTAGCGACGAACGAGATCACCGTGCAGTTCTTGTCATCGTCAACAATCAATTTTGTGTTGAGTTGACCGCGCATGGTACGCTGCTAATGCGCGAATGTTCCAAAGATAATCGAGTCTTGGCGCAAACGATTCCTCGGAAACTAGAGTTGCTTTTTACGCGCGTTTCCTATGCAGCATCGCGGCAAACGGTGCATGTTTGGGTTAGGTCTGGGCCAACAATGACTGCTTCGTCGCATACCGGTGGAACCGACATCGACAGGACAAAAGTGGAGACAAGGAGGGTCTAGCTGAAACAGTGGACCAGTGGATTCGGAACTCATTGTCAGCCGTCTAGTTAGTCTGGTAGCACGATATCGGAGAGAATAACGATTAACGAGCGCTTACCGCAAACAGGATGAGTCGAGGAGGAATCGATGGAATCTTGGCGTTGCGCGAACCACTGTTTATTCCGTGTATTTCCTACAAATATCTCCGAACGCGTTCAAACGCCGCATTTTCGTACCGGGAGAAAAAGTAGTTGTGCAATGCAAGTGTGGTTCCGGGAACTCGGTTGTTCCAAGGTGTAATCGTGGTGCGATTAGTGTCCGTCCAAGAGGAGACTTTGGTTGCGCGAAGGCCTCTCGGTTAAATTCTGATCGTGCTTGTGTAATCGAGTAACCGGTTAAAAGTTCAAAGTTACGGTCACGTCACGGTCGCGATGGTGTGTTTCAATAATCCTGAATGGATAGCTAGAACGAAATTCTGTGATTTTTCCATGGTTACCAAACCCTTTTCGTGTTTGGCAACGACATTTTCGATCACCTTGGGTACAGTCGTACAGTGACACTCTCGAAGGGAAGTTTATTCGAAACACTCGGAATAGTAGTCGAATACGACAAAGAAGAGTTTTGAAAACAATTTTCTTAAAAAAAAAAAAGGGCTAAAACGTACGTTATCGCGCGAAACGGCGTGTGAGAAATTTCAAAAGGAAATTGATTAAAGTCTCGAACGAGTCGGAATCGTCGTTTGATGAAAATTTTCGACTACCACGAAAGAGATGGTTTAACGTGACGCGCCCCAAGCCCGAATAAAGATAAAAGCTCACGTGAACGTATCGGACCGGACTCGCTGCAGACGACGTCGGGACAATGTAGCTCACGACGCGACGCGACGCAACGCGACGCGACGCGACGGATATCCGGCAGGAGCCTGGGAATAATTCGTGGCAGTCGAGTGCCGAGAAAAGTTCGAGGAAAGCTCCGTGCAGTCGGCCCTGGATGTTTTGACGTTAAGTGGCGCCTAGGGTGCCGAGGTGGGGGGCGCTTGGTCTTGCTGCCTGCCGTGCGCCGGTGGCGGCGGGGGTGGGGGTGGTGCAGCTGTCTCGGGGGCCACCCCCGAGGCCAGGAAAGCCTCCACCGGCCACAAGTACCAACAACAGCAGCAGTCGAGTCACCAGCAACAACAGCTGTTGCAGCAGAAGCAACAGGAGAAGCAACATCAGCAACAGCAACAGCACCACCACCTCCACCACCACCATCACCACCACCAACCGAAGAAGGTTTCCGTTGTTCGAGAGAGCGAGTTGGCGCCTCTGAGCAACCTCGACGAAGATCTAGACGGTCTCGACGATGAAAAGAGGTTAGAACTTGTACGAACGGAAGAGGAGGATTTCGCAAAGGAGGGTGGTACTCAGCATCGACTGAGCCCCAGGCTGCACGACATCGAGGAAGAGGATGACGAGGACGGCCGTAACGTCAGAGAGAGGTCAGTAGTTTAGCTTTTCTCCGTTTCAAAAATTCTCGACATTGGTTTCTTTGATCCTTGTACCGTCGTTTCGGACAATTTCCGACACTTTCAATTTCATTTTAATTAACCTTTCTTATATTATAATATTGTATGTATAGTATCTCACCACCGATGCGCGATGAGGCGACTAGCAAGTAAGAAGAACGTAATCGTAGTTGGTATCTCGAGAAAATGAAACGATACCGTTTTACAAATTGTAGCGACCTTGGCGATTTTAGCACCCTAGATTAACGGTAGAGTACGCGTAAAATGTCCATTTCGCGATTAGTGAAACTAGAATCGGAGACTTGAATCGGACGCGGACGTTAAGAAAGAGTTGTAGTTGTTTCGAAAAGTTGGAGACATCTGTTGGTGCAATAATTGCCTTAACGTGGCTCAACTTTCCCTTTTGGATCATACGTGCCTGGGAACTACTTTCGAGTTTTCGTATTCCCCGGACGGACCTGCCACGGAAAGGGTCAAAGTTTTGCTTCGGATTGTCTGTTTACACGCGTGCCCCCCAAACGGCTCCGTGACCTAATCCATTTCATTCGTGTAGTTAGGATAGAAGCGATCATCTCGAAACTATGACGAATTTCGTTTACCGTGATCGTGATTATCCATCTTATCCTAGACCCAGCCCACTTTAACACTCCCGATCACGACCTCGCTTTCTCTAAAGTACACGAGTCCCTATCGCAGGACCGTAACGCACGATACCATTACTGGCTTTTCGTTCGATGTAAAGCCGGCTTCGCTATCGTTTAACGATATTTTATTTACATAACATTACAGCCATTAACCGGCATTCCTATAAATAATTACGTTTATTATTAGCCACGCTGTCCGCTGTTTTCGTTTCGCGCTATAAATACGGGATTGTCTAATTTTGAAACGGAACACGTACATATAATTAGAGCGTCGTCGCCGACGCTGACGTCGCGTCAAGGAGATCGCTCATCGAAGTGGCGAGTGCGTCGTAGATTTCCAGGACGAAGCGCAAAGGCCTCGTGTCAGGTTCAAACGAAATTCTCACGGCGTAAACGACCAACCAACAGCATCCGTGCCGATCGTCTCCTTGATCGTTAGATCATAGATTCGTCTGATTCGAGAGCCGCGCGGTGAACGCATTCGCTTACGCGCGTTTCATGACAGATTCCTTGCGAAATGCTCGCTTGAATTATTCGTTGATAGTTTTATAGTATTAGACACGTGGACGTCTTTGAGGAGTGAATGTTGCGCGCCTGCCAATTGTTTCCTCGTAATTGTCTCGGTGAAGACAGGCAACGTTTCCACGACTCGAATACCTTATTTAACCCTATGCTTACGGCAATACGCGCCGCGGGAGTAACGCCACTGAACGGGGCATCGCGCCGCGAAATGTGCCGCACCCATACACACAGGTCATCCCGCGGGCCCCGCGGTCGGCTATAGTTGGATCCGTACACACAGGTCGTCACGCGGCCGCCGACTATAGTCGGCATCCGTAATGAACGGTTAATTACGAGGCCGTCGTCGAATTTGTCTTCATTGGCCTATTTCCTGGATGCACGAAACATCATTTAACGAGTCTACCTTCTTTATCCAAGCACAGCTGTCTGTATCGAATTTAGATTCCTCGATTTCGTCTTTGCCTCCTTTGTAGCTAACGTTGCGTCGCGTCGGATAAAATCCGGATCGAATCTGGTCCAGCCGCGCGACATTGGTGTCGAAAAGCGTCGTTCAGCCCGTGATAGCGATGTCGTTGACAACGTAGAGCCCACCTACGTGCTAGACACGTTATTATGCTGCTCCGTTTATGGAAACGCCCGGCTTCGCTATCGAAAGGTGTTCCATCGAAGCGTAAACGGTTCAGAAATTAACGACCTAAATTATTCGGATGAGACGAACGTGACAAAGCGGAACTTACAAGTGTTGACATCATTTGTCGCGTCGTGTTCTTTTCTCTAATTTTACGAAACGAATTTCTTCGATGTAATCCTTGAGCACTTTTGGTTCAAAATTTGAAGGCTCTACTCCAAAAATCTCTAATCTTGTATTTCGTTGTATTTAGTTTTTGAGCAATAACGTCTATCGACCGGTTCCTCCATTGTTCCGAAACCATATCGATACCGACTGTTGTAACCCGCTGATAGCCGCGCTCGCAGATTATTTTTTACCACCCCGAGGCGAGGGGGACGCCTGGTATCGATAACGTGGCTAGCTTTGAAAAGCCGCGTTTGCATTGCAGCGGGGTTCGCATTTCATTTTCGAAGCAATCGGCCGACTCGTCGCGTCGATGCATCCCAGCATTCTCGGGAGTTCGATGTCATTTCCATTCGTTATTCAATTAGAGAATTCATGCCTGTATCACGCGGAGAAAAAACCAGAAGAATTCAACGCAGGATTAATTGTTGAACACGCTTTTGTGTCTCTGTTCGTGACAGACATCCTTATATTGTATAATATAGTATAATGTATGTAGTATATCCATATCGTATACGTGCAACGTTTATTGATCAAATTTTCTCATTCGAACCTTGACCAAACATAAATTGAATAAATTCTTATTGTTAGTACTCGCGCAACACCGTCGCAAGCTGAAATATCTGAAACTGTGTTAGCTACGCAACGATCACTTGGACCGGACGGTTAAACAAGTACAAGTTGGAAAGATCTGGTCCATCTCCAAGTCGATAGTGGCCTTTTGGCCGATCGCCAGTAGTTTTCAGCCACTCGTTAAGTTTTCATTTTCTCGTGTACACGGCAGACATGTAGGATAGAACAGGACGTAATGAAAATATTTACATTTGCCCGGTGGTAGTTGCGCGTGTTTACTTGGAACGCAGGCAGCTAGCACTCTAGCGCGCTTAATGCGATTCCAAACTTGATCTATTCTGTCGCAAGCATGACATCTCGTCCAGCACTATTCACGGTAGTAATGTTGTAAATGCAAGAGTTTCGAGGTTGAATACGTCTCACGAAAAAACACGGTTCTTGTTGTTAGGATCGTCGGATTCGATACGACGCGATACCGTAACCGGCCGCGGTGGTCGTACATCGTGGCATTTCTCGAATCAATGTTCGTTCAACGATTGCTCGTAATCTTCGTTGCCGAGAATTTTCGCCCAGTTGAAAGAGTACCACGTACTTTCCTTTCGATCTCATGATTATTTCATTCGAGTGCAGGGTTGCATTGGTGTAACTTCGAGCACGATCACTTTAATCAAAGAGGACTTTGGTTGTATTAACGTCATGGCACTTTCGTTTGGCACTTGCTACGCAAATACGCGATAGTTTGTTTGCGAATTACTAACACGGTTGCCTTTCCTTTCTTTGCTTTATCTACCATCGTGTTAACAGTCGACACGTTCCTTGGATTTGATGGGTGAACGAAGGGACGGTGGCGAAAAGAAATCCGATAAAGCCACGATTGTTTGATCGAATCTTAGTAATTCCATTGGCACGTAGCGGCAGTCCATCCCTTTTTTCTTGGCCATGCTACTTAAATTATTGACGAGTTACCGTCGCGGTCGTTGGTCGCGTCACAAGACTTTTGCTCAAACTTTATCGTTTCGAGGGTAAACTTTAATGGAAACCCATTCTCAGGTTTTGGAATTAGACGTAGGATGGTACACGGTCGATCAGGTAACAGTAGTACCGATAACGAACGAACGAACGAACGAACGAACAAACAAACAAACAAACAAACAAACAAACACCTTATCGTTTCGAGAGGAAGCAGAGTGACCGATTCGAGACTCGGTTAACCGATCGGATGTGGAATATTAATTTGGCGGGCACCGATCTCGTTTTGTAATCGTTACTTTCGAGATAAATTTACGATTCCGAAGAGGAATTTAATCGGCGAGGTTCAGCTGCGACGAAAGTCTAAATCTTACGAAAAGTGTTTCCGAGGGGATAAACAAAGGACAAAGAAACCGTCATGTCGTCGGGTGCGAACTAAGCGAGCCGAAACGTGAAATTGAATCGCGTTGGCGGGGTCTGAATTTCGCAGGCCGTACCAGAAGAAATCGCCAACCCCAAGCGGTGGCGGTGGCAGCAGCAGAACGGGTTGGCGATCGCGCAGAAGCATCACGACAGCAGGTGCACCGATACACCAGCACCACGTGATCGCCAGTGCAGCGGCAACTGCACAGGCCAAGATGCAGGCCGAACAAGGAAGCATCGGTGAGCTGCGCGGCTACCACAACCTCAGATCACGGAGACACACTTTAGCCAACGTTCGGTAAGTGGAACGACATTTTTTCTGCTCTCGTAAACACCACGAGTACAAAGTTTTATTCTGTTTCTGCGTCGCGACGCAACGCGATGTTTCGTTGACTCCTCGTCGCGATATCTACTTGTTGATTGCAGCGTTGGCGTTGATTTGTTACTCGGTCGAGTGACCACCGAGTAATTGTCCAGTTTACGTTATCGCTCGTTCATCGTTTTTGTAGTCATACTTGCGATGATCATTCGAATTTATTTTTAAAAGAACGATTGCGAGTCACAGGAACTGAGAATGTCAACATTCTCGTCGGACAATTCAATTATTTTAAGATTGAACTTAACGTTGATTCAACAAATGACGCGTCTATTTTGGTTTGCTTCGTTTGAATTTGGCGACAAATTGTAATCGCCTTAGGCGGTAACGAAATCTCGTGACTCATGGGGCTGCTGAAACTTTGCCGAGGCCATCTATAATAATATTCGCTGTTTAACGATATATATAAACGTGCAAATTACCGATTATCGTCTAATAGATTTATAAGAAGAATCCTTTATTAGCACAAAATAAAACACAAGTGCGCAAGTTTGCGAGTATCTTTAATCGTAAGGTACGAACACGGTTTGGCCAACGTTCACGCGAGTCGATTTTATTACAAATTTACATTTGACTGGAATAGACAAAATTGTCAGAACCATGGACAAACTCTAGCTAGACACACGCGTTTTTGTCAAGCCCGGGCTGAAATTTAATTTGATGTCGATAGCTGATCCTATTACGCATCGAACAGATGAAAGGGCTACCATTCTCCTCTGCAATGGCTCTCTGGTATTGATTTTAGAAGAGTACCATCGAACCGGCTACATTACTGGAAATTACATACCATACAATTTCCTTTGTCGCATCCATCTACGATTCTATTTTGGCGTTTGCTCGGTCGGAAGCTTTCGTTGAGCGCGTTCGTTGCTACGTTTGCGTGGCGAACGCATTCTTCTAGCGGTTTCCAATTCCGCGATATATCTTATCCGTCCCCTAAGAGCATGTGCGCGCATGCAAATCAATCAGGATCACCGCAAGCACACCGCACTCTCTTTACCAATCCGGATTCCGTTTCGATCGACTCGCTGCAAAGACAGTCTATCGAGGCTTTCTCCTCCAACTGGCCTTCTTCCTTTGATTCCTCTTTGTCTTCTTGTTCAACTTGTTCTCGCGGTACCATCATCCTTTGCCGCGCATCCTTTCCCGCAACGACAGTTTCGACGAACAAGTCTATTCTCCTGGTTCGTTCGAGCTTGATTTTCGAAATGTTTACCATGCAACTTTGATCGGTTTTTTGGTTGAACGTGGTGCGAGGCGGTGTTCTCGTCGAATGTCCACAGACGCTGACTTGTTGATCACGCGTAAGTTTCTTAGCGATCGCGGGTACAACTAGTTGTTGTTTCGATGAATCCTGAGATCGCAAAGACATCTGGAGTCTTTTAATCTTGCAGACAGGGCACATCGACTCGTGCTGCACCGCTTGGTCGATTCCAGCTGGTTCAGGCTTGTTCGACGTAGGCAGCGCCGAGAGGAATCTGATCACGGACGATTGGTATTCCACTGATGGGGACTTTGGGCTCGGTAATGCACTGGGAATCATCTTACCGCACATGCAGCAATCGCATACCCCCTCGGCCTCGGCTTCTTCCGATCTTTTACCGTACCGAATAGATCCAAGTTCCTGTTCGTGCTCGTACTTGGAATAGGCTACGCTGGACTTGAGAGATCGAAGGATACGAAGGAAACTCGATTTCTCTGTCTGAGAACCGCTGTTATTCCTAATCATCGATGACTCTTTCGAAACCTTCTTCCATCGAGTCGGTACCTCCATGATTTCTGCTTCTGGATCGACTCTTCTCGTACCGGTTATGATTTTAGTCTGATGACCGCGTCTCGTCATCCTCTCTCCCAACAGCGACAGCGACAGCGACAGCGACTGTGTCTGCGTTTGCGTCTGTGTCCACGTTTGCGTCCCGATATCGGACACTGTTTGCGTTATCGTTTGCATCCTAGTCTTGGACATCTCCATCCGAGTAATCTCCGTTTGAGTCATCTCCATTTTCGCGATTGGCTCCACCGATGGATACGGCTACACGGAATTAATGGAAAATAACGTGAAAATAATAAACGTGATAAACAAGTTTAGGGGCTTATAACCTGTAGTACTCACAGTCGTCACGGTTCCCGATATACACGTGCACGGAGATGGAGTATATTTTTGATCGGGCTGCGAAAGGCTTTCCACGGCATGGGTATCCCGTGAAATTTTCAGCGATTCTTCGCATACGCAAATAGAAGACATATCTTCCACTTGAACCGGAGGATGAGTTTCTGGCAAAGTGCTAGGCGGATCTTCGCATACACACGGAAGCGACGTTTCTTCTTCTTCCTGTTCCTCTTGCACTTCCATCGTACAAGTTGTCGATGGAACGCTAGGTGTTTCTTCGCACACGCAAGCAAGTGAAATCTCTTCCATTTCGCTGGCTGCAATTTCAACAGATGCAATCGCATCTGGCACTTTTACAACCGATTCCTCTCGGTCTTTGGGCGAAGATGGTTCTTCTTTCGATAATATTTCGACCGCTTCTTTTTCGAGAACTTGATCTATCTCCTGCTCAATTTCTTCTCCTAATTTAGCTTCCTCCACTTCCTCTGGTAGTACTTGTATCTTCACCTCTAGTTGTTCGTCTGGTGTTTCCTCCGTTTCTTCTTCCCTTACTTTTATCTCGACGACTATTTCTTTTTCTTCTGGTATTATTTGTTCGCCTTCTATATCTATTTTTGCACCTGCCAGTGCTTCTGCTTCGAGTTCGACTTCTTTTTCTTCCGGTTCTAGAATTTCTTCAACTTTTATTTCTTCTTTTTCTTCTGGTACGATGATTGTATCAACCTCTACTTGCTCTCCTTCCAGTATTTCTTCTTCTTCTGGTATTCGCTTGACTTGAATTTCTACTTGCTCTCCTTTCGGTATTTCTGCTTCTGGGATTACGCCAACTTCAACTTTTACTTTCTCTTCTTCCGATATTTCTTCTTCTTCTGGTATTCGCTCGGCTTCGACTCTTATTTTCTCTCCTTCCGGTACTTCTGCTTCTGGTATTAGCTCGACTTCAACTTTTACTTTCTCTCCTTCCGGTATTTCTTCTTCTTCTGGTATTCGCTCGGCTTCGACTCTTATTTTCTCTCCTTCCGGTACTTCTGCTTCTGGTATTAGCTCGACTTCAACTTTTACTTTCTCTTCTTCCGGTATTTCTGCTTCTGGTATTATCTTAACTTTGACTTGTACTTGCTTTCCTTCTGATATTTCTTCTTCTGGGATTACGCCAACTTCATCTTTTACTTTTTCTTTCTCTGGTATTTCTTCTTTTTTTGGCATCTCCTTGACTCCAACTTTCAATTCCTCTACTTCGGGTACCGATACTTGATCCTTTGTTTTTATATCCGCTTCTGTCTCTTCTTCTTTCTCGGAAGGCGCGTCTTTTTCCTTTTCTAATTCTATCGACGCTACATCTATCTGGTCTTCTTCTTTCTCTTCCTTCGGCGGTAGTACTTTTGCCCCATCTTCTTTCATCGCTAACCTTTCTACTCGTACCTCTTGCTCTTTTGGTATTATTTCTACTTGTTTAGCTTCGGTTAGTTCTAGTTCGTCTGGTACTAATGGTCGATGCGTATCAGCAACAATTTCCGCTTCAAGTTTTTCCGTTGGCGTTTCTTTCTCTTCCTGTTGCTCTTCGTCTAATCGTAACGGAGATTCTGTTCGGTCGAATCTATCCGGAACTTTGGGTACGACGACACGATCGGCTGGCTCGCTTACGACTTTTGCTGACGGTGTCGTGGCCGACTCTGGCGGATACTCGTCAATTTTCGTCTCAGCAGACGATTTTACATCAATGTCTGGTATTATCGGTGTTTCGATTTCTTCTCTTTTTTCATCCGTAACTTGGATCGCGGGTACTAACTCGGCATCTTGTTCTGCTGTTACAGTCACCTCCTCCTCCTCCTCCTCCGCCACCACCACCGTTGCTACTTTTACCTCGACTTCCTCAATTTCTGTCACCGTCTCATCCTCTGGCGCGACTTTTGCTTCAATTTCTGCGGGTTCTTCTCGAGCCATTTCCTCTTCGACTTTTACCTCTTTTTCTATGGATGCAACCTCCTTCGCTGCTTCCTTCGCTTCCGTCTAAAAGCGAACGGTAGTTGAAGTTTTATCGCGGATATTCCAGTACGCTTACCTTACTCGCACAATAGTTGTACGTAGTAGCACTACAAGGTTAAATTAAATTAAATATCGATTACACCGATAGAGAGATACTAACTTGTAAAGTCGAAATAGAAGGATAGTCTTTACATACATATATAGATTATATAGTACAATATAATACTGTATATTACACGGAACAGACATCTACGCACATTATTTATCAAATTCTATTTACCAATTATGATCTAAATTGCATGGTTTTACGCGCATGTATCTCTTGGAACGATAAGTATAGGTATTATACTCACGCCAATATATCGCGCTAGCATCTCGGCCAAATTATCGGCATCCTTCGTCGCTATACGACACTCTGGACATTTCTAAACACGAGAATAATTCAGAAACTTGGTTGGTTTTCATTTAGAAAGCTATTCTCCTCTACTAGGAGAAAACTATTAAATATTGCGATACGATGCGTACAGTAATCGTTTGACGGATTACAAAGACATTGTTCTGCCATGTTAACATGTCATTCTTCGAGACGAGAATTTTGTCATGGTCCCAAAAACGATCGGTCTGTTCGACGAGTCCGTCAACCCTATCGGCAAAACTTATCGCGGCATCAGCCTCGACGATATCTTCTCCTATCGTTTCGTCTTTAGAATCATCTTTGGGAGGCATCCTTTCGTAGCGACTTTCCCTCTCGAATTCCTCCGCGTCTTTTCGTTCCATCGAAGCTTCAACTTTTGTTCCTGTAGTCTCCACAACGCCAACGCCAACGTCAACGTCAACGTCAACGTCAACGTCTTGTTCTCGTATAGACGACACTCGATCCTGTGCTCCTATAGCCTCTGGTGCCGTTCCGTATCCTCTCTGTTCCGCTCGTTCCGTAGGCGTCGGCGTCGTTTCGGCTTCTTTTCTTCTGGCAGTGTCTTTCTCGAGCAGCTCCTTCGCCGTGACACGGTTTTCCTTAAAAGCGATCAACTCCTCCTCGGTTAAACCAGTTTCCGTGAGCTGTAGGTCGTTGCAGTCAAAGTCCGGAGGACAGATGTAATCATCGTCGGCGTCCAACGCTGAAAGGGAACCCAATCGAGCCAGGTAATCCGCGGCTTCCATCAGTCTTTGGTTCTCGCGAATCAAGTCGTCCGGATGAATGGCCAGGCCAGCTTCGTGCATATCCGGTCGAGCCAGCGTGTCCTTCTCTGCCATTTCTCTCATGATCGAAACGTCCTTTTCATCGACGTCCGCAAAGTCGTCGTCTCTACCGATCGTTTCGTGCTTAGTTACGATTCCAAACGAGGTTGTTCCATCCGTAACGTCCGCAAAGTCGTCATCCCTGCCAATCAGAGTCTCGATCTTTCCGATACTTAGGAACTTTTCTAGTTCGGATCTGCACGAGGCCATTCGCGTCCTGAGCTTTTCGAGCTCGTCTTCCAGCTGGCAAATACGATCAGCCATTTCTTGATTCGCAGCCGTCTTTGTGTCCAATTGCTCCTGCAAACCGCTCAACGTGCTGGCCGCGTCACCCTCGAGCTTCGACCAGAGCTCGTCCGCTTGCTGGAGTGTCCTCATGTAGTCCTCCTCTCGACGCTCCAAGTCGGCGATCTGCCTTTTCATATTCAACTCGGCCTCCGCTAGTTCCTGCAGCTTCTCCAAGCACTCGATGTCGCTCGATTTTATGGAAGCGTTGCTTGGTACTTTATCTAACCATTTTTTCTTACATTCGATGACCCCGCATTCTCCTACACGGATAACACTACCGATTAGTGGTTTTCGTTTACGGAGAACGCTCGATGGAAGTTGGGGGAGTGTTGGAGGGCAACGAATCGGTAAACTGCGTGTAAAAGCTGTCGCTACGGTATATACATATGATATTATAGGGTAGAAGTCGGTAGAGCGTTGCCGCTCAAATTAGGACTCGCGAGTCCTTTGGGTTAGGTACTTTGATTTCCGTTCGTAAAAATAACTTGTCATTGTAAAACGCGATAGACGGTACGAGAATTAGAAGACTCGCGACTCCTAGCATAGACTACAGACAGCATCGTTGCTGAGGCTAATAGAGTGTTGTAGACTTGTAAAAAGATCGAGTCGAAGGTGGAAGGTTACCAGCTTGGCAGGATCCCTCGTCTTCCACGGCGCTTTTGGCTTCCCTTAGCTTCCGAGCCTCGACGGCAAGTTGTTCGATCCTCTCCTTTTGCTCCTTTTCGAGTTTCCTGGCCTCCTCCAGCATTTTCTCTCGGTCCTCCAGAGTGGCCATCTTCTCGTGCCAAAGCGTTCGCGCCTCTTCCAGCCTTTTCTGCGCCTGTTTCCTCTCAGCCTCGACCTCTCTGACCCTGCAATCAAAGTGACGACTGGGGCTGCTCGGACAGTACACCTCTCCCGAAGCGGCTCCCTGGAACTGTTTCTCGAGGACTCGACCAAGGTTCGGAACGGAGCCGCCCTGCGTCATTCGCCAGATATTCCACACCATCACCGCGGGCATCGAACATTCCAGTATGTTGAGTCGCTGTTTCAAGTTGCCCTGCTGCTTCTCCAGCTCTTCGTTCTTCATCTCGCGTTTGCCGATTATCTCGCGGAAACGACGCTGACATTGACGTTGCAGTCTCCCGATTCTAGGCTTCCGAACTTGTTCCAATTTATCCAGCGAGCTCTTTGTACCGTTCAACGGTATTTGTTCGGTCTTACCGATACCCTCTTCGCTCTTGGACGACTCCTCCAAAGCTTCTTGGCGCACCTTACCATTTTCAAAACTCCGATCTCTGGCCTGACTTCCTCGCAACGATTCTCTCCCGCTCGATCCTCTCGTAGACAGATTTTCTTTTACTCCTGAAATATAAGACTCGATCTTGGAAACCTTGGACACGATAGGCGACTGGATCGTGTTTAAGGAACCCAAGGATTCGTCGGGTATTCCCGGAATTAAGTAATCCGATTCGTCGCCTTTGGCTGACTCCTCCTCCTCCATCTCCTCCTCCATCTCCTCCTTCTCTTCCTTCTTCTCGTCATCCGCCATGATCTTTTCTGATTTTCTCAGGCGATTCGCCAAATTACCTGATATTGCCTGCTGAAAAATTAATTCCTATAAAGTAGGTTAACCGATTCGAAACATTCGTTGGTTTGGTTTTAAAGAGATTCTCACCTGGCTGACTATGCGCGGAAATGCGTTACATATTTCGAATCAGAAATTACACTCCGAACCGTGATTAAGTTTGGTTATCCTGGTCGCTCGAATTAAATACATCTCTACGGGAAACGCAACTTGATTTTTCAACCTTCTCTAATTACGGTTGATACTTTTTATTACATTTCCGTTACTCGGTACGGTGAATTTAATGAAAAACACGATTGAATCCCTTTTACTCCATCAATTTTGTGATTCTACTTGAACGCCACCGCGCGATCCTGGCGAAATTTCGATACGTGACAATCGATTATTCCATATTCAGTTGCGACGCCGACGCGGAGTTTGGCACCGTTTAAGACTTTGTTTGTCTGGCAAGTAGGTACTTCCAGTTGATACGGCAAGATCTCGGCGTTGCTATGTTTCTATTTATTATTATCGTTGAAACAAGAATGAGTTGGATCGTTCGACGGTGATAAAAGCTCGTCTGAAAAATTCCATCGGGATTCCCATTCCCGTAAACGGCATCGTTTAATTATCGTTCGCGTGCAATTTCGCAAGACTCGGGAAAAGAAAATGCGAGGCAGCGAGAAGGTGCAATTGCGGACAAGTTCTCTCGGAACGTTTTCATTAAGTGCACCTCGAAGGAGGTCTTTCGTGGCCGTTGTAAATGACACGTGAAATCTCGCGGGAATATGATTCGAATGGTATCGTGTTTCACTCCCAATCAGATATATTGAGGAACGCGTCGGCGTTGTTCAGTTTTACGCTGGTTAGATAACGTGTAACGATAACAGCCTGTGATTAAGACGAAAGAAGTTTGAGTAACTCGCGCGTCCGAGGATGCGAACGCGAACGCGAACGCGAACGCGAACGCGAACGATCGGTGAAAGAAACACCCGAATCGATAATCGATGTAGGTAACACCGACGTCGACGCTTGAATTAACAACGCTGAAAGCTCTCTATGTATCGCCTATGTATCGTATTCGGCGAGGTAGTAAGGTAGTAAAAAATTGCAGTTTTCGTTACCGGAGCGAAGCTTGAACTCGATAAAAAAGAGATTGATTACCGGTTGGTGTCTCGCTTCGTGATCCTACCGCGCGATTTACCCGACTAGGAACCCGCGCCCGTCTACTACATACGTAGTTACAAAATAGCCGTCGCAGCCAATTTGAACGTTTGCTTTCCAACCTCGTACAGGATCGGATAAACGAGTGGCATTTTCCTGGCGTAATTTAGCGCGTGGCATTTATCGCGAAGGTAGTCTGAAATCGAGCCGCCTCCATAGGAAACGCGTAAAGTAAGCCTGCACCTGTATGCATCGCGGGTAAACGTAATTTAGTTTGCACAGGGGAAATGCAATCACGCGACGTTGCCTTTACACGCGCTTCCCTGTCACGTTTCTTATTGTGAAACGATCGCGGCTGACGTTCGCGGGCAGCATCCGATAAATCGTTATTCCGTGGATGGAAATTCGACGTGTTTCATTGATTGAAGCTGGAAACGCGTGTTTAATGAGAAGAAATGTAACGTACGAACGACGCCGACGTGCAACAAGAAAGAGCTCGATTATGCAATTCTTTTACCTATTCAACGTTGGGCCCAACATTTTTACAGGAAAAGTTCTTCTTTCCGTGATTCGCGTATCGATCATTTAGGTATTAATTTCAATCCCGATGTACAAAGCAATTTACCAAGTTCAGGTGCGCAGAGAATACCGACTGATGCCGACCGGTTGATCGAATCGAAAGGACGTAGTAGAACCAAAGCATGGCCGACCGGTGAAATTCTACAGTTAAACATCAACTTTTTGTTTCTCGCGCAGAAACGTCGTTGAGGGAGATTAAGCGCTATAAGCCCGGAAAACCCCCGTTTAATGCGAGCCCGCCTTAAAAGGAGGTTGACCTCGCTCACCCTCCACTTTCTCTGCCGCCCTTCTTTCTGCACCCGTCGCAAAATCAATAGTATCGGTGTACCGAGTTTACCCCGCGTTTGACCCGAGCCAGGAGCCGAAAGTTCACGGGCTGACGGAACCTGGAATACCGCTGACGAAACTACCGGAAGCATCCAGATAGAATGTTTCCCTATCGTCGAAACGTCGCTAGGAATCCAGCTGGAAAATAATTTCGTTAATTTCCTGCCAACGAGTCGATCGATCGTAACGTAGACCCCTTCGGTTTATTCGGGCACGAGTACCGGTGCACGCATTCAAACGAAATTATCTAGCCTATTTTAGACAGAATCGATTACATCGATTGCCATCGATCTAATCGATTCACCATCTTACGAGTACTGAGCGGTGAAGTTTGTGCGCGCGCGCGCGCGCGAGAGAGAGAGAGAGAGAGAGAGAGAGAGCTCCGCACCTGGACCTGAGCCGGAAATGGAGACGACGGTAAAATGTTACCACGATCGTCCTCCGGTGCATCGTTAAAAATTGCGCACCGAGCTCTCGGCGAGAAAACTCGTTAAGAAGTTTGAAAACTCCGACACCTTCCGCGTTGAGGTTTAATGTGGCTCGGATGGACTCATTTGAATAATTAAATCTCGGGTTTGCATCAGAGTCGACAGTCTACCAACGGAAAGTGAGCTTGTTTTTAAAACGACCAACGGGGATACGAATACATTCGTTGCGGATAACCGTTCGATATAAAAACGTTGACGATCAACGCTACCATTTCCTACGATATAAACATCAACATACGGATGGATAAAATCCAAACGAAGCATTTGCGACGCTTCAATTTTCAAACCTTTATCACTACCGAGATACACGGTGTTTGCGATCGAAGAATGGAATTCGTTTAATTGGAATCGATTTTATAATTGCGCGAAAACTTGGATATCGCGTTAATTGGTTCTATTCAGCCTCCAAAGAGGGAGAAAGTTTTCAATTTGTAATTAAGTAAGTTCACTCGATGGAGGGACGAAGCTTTCGCCAACAAAGTTACACGGATAATTATATTTCGGTCCTGTGTCTTTACTTCTCTCTTCTCTGCAAGTTATTCTCGAGTCTTGGTTGAATTTCCGTTTCCTCGATGCCCTGCGAGTATATTCGATATTACTTCAAACTATCATCTATTCGTTTCATCGACGAGAAATTGAAATTTGAATAATTGGCTGATACTTGCCAAGTATTCGCCAAGTTATTATATTATACAATAAAAAGAGACACCTCTTTCTATTAATTGAGATAACATTTTCTGAAAAGTCATGTCCAAAGAAAAAATTAAATCGAATTTTAATGTCAATGAAATTAATTGCTAGCCTCGTTTCGAACGATCGGCCAATATTTATCTTTAACGATCGTTTCCACCGTTGCACAGGTTGTAACTTTCTGTAGGTATTTACGTACAATGTTACAATATTATCAATGCTTTGAAATTCATCGAAATTTAAGTTGAACAAAGGTTGTCGTTACTGAATCGGCACTCGAGTTTGCGTTGAGGCGTGAGGTTAATTTAAATCGAACAAAGAAGCTATAGAAGGAAAAACCGTGTCTCGAGGCTGTGCTCCAAATACGAGATCGTCTCGCGAAACTCAAAGAGAGCCGCAGTCTTGTTTATCGAACACTTTAAACGGAACTCGACGAGTTTCCGCGGTTGGGAAGAAATGCACTCTAGGTGACTGTACGTGTTCGGAGACGTAAAATGCATCGATAGTTATTATACTAGGCTCGGCGTGTATTTTACCGAAAGGAGTTTCGACGGTCACTGTGCTGGTTGCGACAACATCGAGATCGTTTCTTCTCTTAAATGGTATGTAGGTTACCAGTGACGTCACCATCTGCCGTGTGACGTGTGCGGAGTGAAATATGCAATGGTGCGGCGCGGCGGAGCCTTCCAGTCGGTCGTTGACGTCGATTTATCGCGTTCGCCACTTCCGATTAATCAACTTGAACGAGATCGAAAATCGAAAGTCGATTTTCGGTTGCTCGCCGGACGACGTTAATCGAAAATGCCCGCAGCGAAAGGGTTAATCGGTCAATGGTGTTTTTCGAGCGAAATATGTTGCGTGTCAATGATGATGATGATGACGATGATGACGATGATGATGCTAAAATCGAAATTCCACTTGCTCGGTGGACTGATTGCTAATCGAATAGACATCGATCCGAAACGCTTTGAGAGCTCAAGAACGGATAATCCTCCCCGGAGGTTCGCGTGAAACGTATGATCCTGAGGTGAATTGTGTTGTGCATTCGGCAAATATCTAGAGGCGGGAATTGCTAACAAGGGAAATCGATAAGTGTATGCTAATCGAGTCGGTTCGAGATGTCTAGACAGTTTAAACGTTGCAGCCGAATCTATTCGATGGTCTAAATAACAGTTGCGTATTATTGATGTTGTAGTTGCTAGTTTCTCGGGTTGATCAAAGTATGGGCGTCATCGTCGATTTCGATTAGCCGATCGTGGTATACAATAGGATATTCGCAGTGGATTCAAGGGCGGATTCGGTAATGTTTGACTTTCATTCCGCCAGAGATTAGGGGGAGAATTCGGCACTCGGAAAACGCCGGCGCCGCCGTATCATAGGTTGACTCGTTCTACTTGGAATTTATTTCGGTAATTGGATCGTTGGCGTTGGCCTGAACAAGATAGGGCTAACCTCCTTGTTCTTGGTACATGTATGTATTTTTTGTAGGATTAAAGAGGAAAAGAGGAATTTGAATCGATCGAGCCTCGCCATTTCGAACCATCGGTATTCGTTTAATTTCACGTGATTTCTAAGTTGGTACTACTCTTTTGTTACAAGCTTTTGTAAAACGGTATGTCTGTAAATATTTACGAACATTGCGTCGTGTCGGCGTCGTAGCGATTAAAAGAATTTCTTCGAAGCAATAATCATGAGAAATCTCGAGTTAATGCTCTTCGACTCGAAGCGTAATAATTG